GATCACTCGCGATCAGCGACCATCGCACACACCGTAGACAATCTCTATGACGTGGAAACAATTTGTTATACAAAAAATGATCTCGTATGAGCATGCTCTAAAAGTGAGAACTCTTCCCATCTTTAAAAGCGATAACTCTATGAGATTAAAGAGTATGAAAAAAGGGCCCATTTGTGAAAGTCAAAATCTTAATTTGATCCAAATAAAAAAGTAGGATTAAACTATTTGTACACCAAGATTTGTACTCTAAATTGTACATCACAGATGTAGCTTTCATTTTGTGACAGTGCGATGCTTCACTCAGACACAAAATGTTAGAATAATTTTTTTGTAACACTAACATTGTGTTAATATGAATCATGAAAATATTAGTATATAACTATATATCTTTAATGTAACTTTGAAATACACTCCCTGGTGTAACTGTAACATGATTGAAAAAAAGTACTCCTTCCTTCCTAAAACTATCTTCTCAGTTACTATTCACACAGCTAAACTTAAATCATTTTCTTTACCTTTTTCCCTACTTATTTGATAAAATAATATAGTCTTGTCACCTCTCGTGTTTGTAGAACTTTTAATGTAGTTTTTAAATATGTAAAATTTATTTTTTAATTTTACACCTACAGTCAAATAAATTGAATTGAAAATAAAATTGATCAAACCTCGTAAACACAAACGGGAAGATGGTTTTAAGAAGGAGGGACTAATGTAAAATGGGATATAGAGTTGGTACTAAATAGGCAAGTAGAAAAGGGCCCACTTGTTTTGAAAAGAAAGCCCATAATCGATCTTTTTTTTTAACTCATTCATTCCTCACAATCTCGCGGCAGTCACACCCGCACGTAGTCCTATTCCATATCGCTTTGGCGCTTCGAAGGTTTCCACGGCATCTGCACCACTATTATTCCTTAATCTCCCATTCTTTGTTCTCTAAACATCCAAACATCTCTATAACTCCGTCTCATTATCATCGATCCAATCCAAGGTATTTCGATTTCTCCTACGTTTGTCTGATTTTATTTATTTTCTGTTTCCGTGTGTATGTCGTTGATTATTATTTGGAGATTTCACCCAAAATTGAACGAGTTTATGCAATTCTATATGTCTAACCTTTGCTTATTGATGCATTGTGATATTAAAATAAATGCACAACAAAACGAAGATGTGATTCGTTTAAAACAAAAAAGGATTAATTTCTGCTTTTGTGGGGCTCTGTTGTAATTGAATTTGCTATTGTGCATGTGTCCCTTCCTTCTGCCTGATAAAAAAAAGTATCTGTTTCTCAATACATTTTGTTTCTAAAATTCGAATAAAAGTTGTTAATTTCACAATATTCAATGTCTTCTAATCAATAAAAAGCTAAATTGTGTTATTGTTTCCCTCTTTTTCATTTTTGTTTGATCTTCATGTTTTGTTTTTGTCTTTTTGAATCATTTTAGTTTTTTATTACGAGAAATTGAAAATCTAATGCTTCACTCCCGTAAACATATCTTAGGTGATTCAATTGTTGAGTTGGATTAATTATATGCCACCTAATACAAAATACTCTGTAATTAATAACATATGTTGTCACCCAAAAGAAAAATAACTATAGAGTATTTTGTACTATTAAATACTCCGTAATATATAGTTAAAATCTAACTCATCAATTAAATATGTTTGAGATATGAACGAGATTTTAAATAAAAAGAGGCAATTTTCTGGAAAAAAAGGACTCAAATTGCCAAACATGAACAACAAGACCACTTTTGTCAATTAGATTGACTTCCCAGATAAAAATTGCAATTCAACATAATATTTTTAAAACATAATAAAAAGTATGTCAAACAACTTTAAAACGCAAAATTTATTTGTTATAACAAAAATGTAGATTATTGTTATATTTGATGATTTTAACAAGTTGTACCTAATTAAAGGTGTACTTTTTAACATATAGTATTCCACTCTATTAAACTTGGCACCCAATCAAAGTTGGGACATCTTTTTTTGTAAGAGACAGTATATGTGTTGCTTCTTATGCTACATTTTAGAACAATATTTTGGTGTCCAAATGCTCCTTTATAAATTGCTACTAGTGCTAGGATTTTAGAAAGACCTTTTTGGTAAACAATATACTCAGTCCGTATTTCTAAGTATTTTATCATTTTAGAACTTAGAAGCTAATAATAATATGCTAAGTTATCAAATACTCTGTAATTTTTTAAAGCGAATAACTATACTCAAGACTAGGGCTGTAAATGGATAGTCGAAAATCCGATTACCGTCCGCATCCGTATCCGTTTAAAGAGGAAATATCCGCATCTGTTTTAAACGGATATTNAAGGATATCCGATTACTAAACGGATACGGATCTGGTAATTGTATATCCGATCCGTTTAAAATCCGATCCGAATATGCATCCGTTTAAATAACCGTTTATCCGAATATCCGATCCGTTATATATAGTTTTTCCTAATTTTTTATGTTTATAATTTGTTTCTCTATTGATATTTCAAAATATAAGACATTTTTATATACAAAATAAATGTGTACACACAAAAATAAATACAGACATATAGAAATATGTGTATATGTGTGCTGTGTATATCGTTTTATCATATAAAGTTATCGTAAAATATTATAAATCATGATAACAAAGAAAATAATAATCTCATACCAACATACAGTTGATTTAATAATAGTTTGACTTTAATCTAATTTAAAATTAAAGTATTGTTTAATTTGATTTTAAAAATTAGAAACGGATACGGATTTATCCGATATCCGGCCGATATCCGACGGATGCGGATACGGTTTTGATTTTCAGTATCCGTCAAGATCCGTATCCGAATTCGATATCCGACAAAAATAAACGGATACGGATTTGGTAATGGCACATCCGATCCGATTAATATCCGTTTACACCCCTACTCAAGACCTACTAAAAATGCTACTCCCTCCGTTCCTTTAAACTTTCCACTTTTGACTTTTGGTAAAAATAAGAAAAGTGTAATTTTTATTGACTTTCCAATTTTGCTCCTGATGTGATGGGTAAAAGTAAGATGTGATATAAGATGTGATAGTTTGATTATTAGTGAAAAAGTGTGATGTGATAGGTAGGGTATGAAAAGGTAAGGGTAAAAGTGGTTTTTTAATAGAAAGTGGAATGTTTTAGGGAATTTAAAAAAAACAAAAGGGGAAGAGTTTTGTGGAACGGATGGACTAATAACTAAGTGTTATTCAAACAAGGATAAAAAAAATACACCAAAGTTGTACCCCTTCATTTTTGCAGCCCAGATACAAAAGTTACGTTGTTTATGATGTTGTTTATGATGCATAGATAAGTTCTGACTATTGACACACATTTTATTTATGAAGTTGTGAAGTGCAAAAAAAAGTTTGTGTACATCAAATTAGGGTTCATTCAAACATGGTAAATCGGTGAATGAATATACATTTACATAAGTTTGTTAATTTATTTTAATATCATAGAAATTTTGTTTGACCAATATCCTAAATGGTAGATGACAATTTCTTTTTTCAATTTGTCGTTCTTTCATTATTTGATGCACTCAACATCTGTAACTTTTTGGTCCTTGGAGTCTTTGTCTTCGAAGCTTAGATTCCCTTCACGAGTTAGAAAACTATTTACTCGTTGGCACAGAGTAAATTTGCCACGAACATTAAAAAGTTCGACAAAAACGTTCAGGGTCCGTTTGGTACACGGAATTGATGGAATTGGAATTGAATTTGAATTGAAATTCTATGGGATACAATTCCATAGAATTGAATTCTGCCAATTCCAATTCATTTTTTGCACTATCAATTCCAAATTCACACAATTTTTGTACTACCAAACACTAGAATTGGAATTGAAGCCCTCAATTCCAATTCCATAGTTTGAATTCCGTATACCAAACGGGGTCTCAAAGTTTTTACCAATGGTATTTTCAATGTTGTTTGGCTTTCTCCCCTTATCGCTCATAAATCCCTCTGTCCAAACGCAACTGAGGTCCAATACCAATGGTTGATGTAAAACTCCAAAAATGATCAAGAACGTGAAAAATAAATAGGCATACACAAGAAGAGTGACGGCTAAAATATAACAGTTCAACCCATTAGTATGATTTTTTTTGAGAGTTAGTTCAAAAATAAATCCGTGAGAGATAAACCAAAGTGGACAATCCAACATTTTACTATTTAGAACATTATATTCAAAAAATCTCTCTCCCTCTTTATACTACTCCGTAAAAATCTCTCTCCCTCTTTATTCAGATATATTTTAAATATTTACTAATAAATCAATAATATCACATAATAAATTTAATCAATTTATGATATACTCCGTAGTTATTTTATTATTTAACTCGAATGATATAAAAAATAACACTTACATAACTAACTAATTTTTTACATTCTAAAGTTTTCCCTCCTAAATTTTTTGGCGTGATCTTTTAATTAACATTCTACTTCGTACTTCCTTTATTTCTATTTAACTACCCATTTCACTATATGCATCAAATATTGGAATAGTTGTATATGAAAATATATAATGAATTAAAATATAAAGAGTAAAAGTTATTACCAAATTGTTGGTATTAGAAAAAGACTTTAAATGTATTATTTTTAATATTTTTTGCTAATATATTTGAAGATACATGTTGGTCAAACCTTAACACTATGGTTGTTTGAAGGTAAGGGGAGGTAGAATTATTTGGTAACAAAAATTGGGATAGAAAATGCTAAAAACCCCCACTCTTGCTACCACTCATGCCTGCCCCCCTTACATAAACATGTGGTAGGGAGGCAAGAAAATTAAAATTAGATGGTGGGTGGAAAATGGGTAGAGATAAATATGTGGTGAAGAAGTAGGTGGAGGTAAGGTTGGTAGGAATGGTGGGGTGTGTAGCATGGTCCAATTGGGATAGGTTAAGAGAGGTAGGGGAGGTGGAGGGAGGTAGGTTACCCGGTTTATAAACTCTATTTCCCGCAACTATCCTCCCGGTACCTATAGAAAACCAATCGCCATCTTCATATCTCCATCCTCCGATCGCCATCTCGAACAAGACAGGGATTCCTATTTTTTCCTTTTTTCGTTCTGCCTTTGCGTCGTTCCGTCGTTCAATTCTGGTTTCTGGGCGACTCTGCTCCAGATGGGAAGGTATTTAATCCTCTTATTTCTCCCCGGGACCGGCTTTTTGCCGGGTTTCCTCCATGAATGCTCAAAGAACTCGCCTTTTTTCTTCTGGGTCGAAATTTACTCTGGGTTTTTGTTGTTTGGCACTTTGGCTGGAATTTTTTTTTTCGTTCTGCCTTTGCTCATTAAATCATTATTTATTTCTGCACAGATTTTGCTTACTTCACTTCAATTTTTTCACATTTTTTTGCTTACTTCACAGATTTTGGTTCTGCACAGATTTTCAATTTTACTTCACTTTTTTTTGCTTCCTTCAATTTTTCATTCAATTTTCTCCACAGATTTTCAATTTTACTTCACTTTTTTTGCTTGCTTCAATTTTGCTTTCAATTTCCAGTTTATGCTCAATTTCCAGTTCAAGGTTTCGTTCACTTTTTTTTCAGTTTTCGTTTTTTTTGTGTCCCTTTTTTCAGTTTTCATTTCACTCCTTTTTTCTATTTTTTTGCGGTTTTTTCTGTTCTTTTTTTTGTGCTTTTTTCTGGTAATTTTTTCTGTTTTTTTCTACAATGGTGCATTTTTGAGTTCACATTTCGTTTGTACATAGTAATTTATGGTTTTGTGTTCACATTTAGTTCGTTTACCCTGCCCATTGAGTCTTGGATATTTTACAAAATTTGAGCCAATTTTACTTGAACTTGAGATCTCCAAGATCTTAATCCCAGGATGCTACATGTCCTGACCTGTCTTTTTTTGAGCTTTTTTCTGGTAATTTTTTCTGTTTTTTTCTGCAATTGTGCATTTTTGAGTACTCTATTTTTGTAGTTTTGTTATTGTACTTTGTTTTTTGCAGTTTTGTTATTGTACTCTGTTTTTTTGCAATTATCTGGACTTGTAGGTGCTAGTGATTTGAGACCAACATCCATGGCTAATCTCAAATAAATATTCCATCTTTTTGACTTTTATTTTCTCTTTTCTTTACTTTATCCAGTTTTATTCATTTCAATCAATAACTTTCCAACATTTCACTCTGGTTAAAAATAAAATAAAATACATATGTGAAATTTGCAGTAAATAGGACTAAAACTTAAGTTATTTGCAGTAATATAGGACTTAAACTTTTTTATTCCCTAAATAAGATTTAATAATGTCTAGAGGGAGAAATAATGTCAAGTAATGATGAACATTTAGTTGAATAATGACTAATTGATAATGACCAAATATCCTACATTGAGAAATAAAAACATATGGTCCTATATTGGAAAAGTCATTATGTTTTATTCCTATTTAGGTAAATTTCTCAATACATATTCCCTTTTCTTATATCCGCCAATGTCTTCTTTTGCGCTGGGAACCAATTTTGTTGTCCTTATTCATTGCCTGAAAGATACATTGCAGGTGCACATTGTGAGTTTCTTGATTCCACCCGGCCAGTAGTACCTTTTAAGGCAAAGCAGCGGCAAGAAAATTCAATTCGTCGATTGATCGAGGATGGGAGGAGCCGTGCTAGTCGCCCTTGCTGCTGCCATTGGCAACCTCTTGCAAGGATGGGACAATGCAACAATAGCAGGTACCCTATTATCATTCCAAATGTTCTCCTCCTTACAAAAAAATATGTTATGCATATATACTCCATATTTGTTTGTTTTATAATCATAATTGTGTGGTCCTACGTTGGATGGCTGAACACATTTTAGGATCAGTGCTTTACATCAAGAAGGAATTCAACCTGGAAACGCTGCCGATGATAGAAGGGCTGATCGTGGCGATGTCATTAATCGGAGCGACATTCATCACGACGTTCTCGGGACCCGCATCTGATTCGCTTGGAAGACGACCGATGCTCATAATCTCCTCCGTTCTCTATTTCCTCAGTGGCTTGGTCATGTGGTGGGCCCCTAATGTTTATGTCCTGCTTCTGGCAAGGCTGCTGGATGGGTTTGGAGTTGGTCTCGCTGTGACACTTGTTCCCGTTTACATATCCGAAACTGCCCCTCCGGAGATTAGAGGATTTCTGAATACTTTCCCCCAGTTCACTGGCAGTGTTGGGATGTTTTTGTCATATTGTATGGTCTTTGGAATGTCACTCACGGATTCACCTAGTTGGAGGCTGATGCTTGGAGTTCTCTCAATCCCTTCTCTTCTCTACTTCCTTTTGACTATTCTCTACTTGCCTGAATCGCCTAGGTGGCTTGTCAGTAAAGGCAAGATGAGGGAGGCCAAGAAAGTTCTGCAGAAATTGCGCGGGAGGGATGACGTATCAGGTTCATTATTTTCTTTTTTTAAATCTTCATTGGCAATCAAATAATTGGAAAAGCTGTGTAAGTGAAAATAATACGGAGTAGAACAGGATGGATTTTAGTTTAATGTCCATTGCATGGTATAACCAAAAGTAAAATAGTGACCTTGCTTTGTTTATTTGTTTTTTCTAGCTTAAACTGAGCTTCCACGAATAACTAAACGCCGGGTTTTATTTATCGACAGGCGAGATGGCACTGCTGATGGAAGGTCTAGATGTTGGAGGCGATACATCGGTTGAGGAATATATAATTGGACCAGACAATGAGCTTCTTGCTGATAACCAAGAGCATGCAGTAGACAATAAGAATCAGCAGACTATTAAGTTATATGGTGCTGAAGAAGGCCTTTCATGGGTAGCAAAACCGGTCACGGGTCAAAGTACACTCGGCCTGGTTTCTCGACGCGGAAGTATGGCTGCAGCAGCAGCTCATGGCTCTTTCGTGGACCCGATGGTCACTCTCTTTGGCAGCGTACATGAGAAACTTCAAGATCCAGCAGGAGGAAGCATGAGAAGCATGCTGTTTTCAAACTTTGGCAGCATGTTCAATGTGGCCGAGAACAAGAATGAACAATGGGATGAGGAGAACGTAAGGGACGGGGAGGAGAGCCACATGTCTGATGATGACTCCGGGCACGATTCGTCCGAGGAAAACAATTTAAGGAGCCCTTTGCTCTCGCGTCAAGGCACAAATGCCGGAAGGGATATTGCGGAGACTAGACAAGGAAGCACTCTCATCATGCAAGGAGGCGAAGAAGTAGGCGGCATTGGCATTGGAGGAGGATGGCAGCTTGCCTATAAGAAAGATGAGAGGAAGGAAGGGGCACTCAAAAGGATCTATTTGCACCAAGAAGGCGGTGGCAGTGTTTCACGACGCGGGTCTATGATCTCGCTTTCGGGAGGACCTGATAACCCTGCAGCAGAAGGTGAATGCATTCAAGCTGCTGCTCTGGTTAGCCAGTCAGTTCTTAGGACAGAAGACATTATGGGCCAAAAACCTATTGAAGAAGCTATGGAGAAAACTTCCAAGTCTGCAACTAAAGAATCAACCTGGAAGGATCTCTTCGAGCCTGGAGTTAAGCATGCACTTATTGTTGGTGTTGGACTTCAAATACTTCAACAGGTACACATTTTGATCTACGGTATATATAATACCAATAAAAACATTGGCGGGTACAAGACAGTAATATGAATATATATACTGTTGCTAAGATTAAAAACTTTGAACTTTACCTAATTACCTTATGTTTTTATGGCTAATAAACTTACTCCCTGACTAAGGGTAGAAGTGTGATCTCATATGTTAGACGCTTCGCACACCTCTAGAGGGGGGTGAATAGAGGTGTTGCCCAAAAGACCAGTTTTTTTGCGCGGAAACGTTCTTCAGAAATATTCAATAAAAACAATGCACCACAAACAAAATAAAGTGAAGGATAAGAGCAAAGCACACACGATATATACTGGTTCGGCCTAAATGCCTACATCCAGTCCCCGAAGCAATCGTGCCCAGGCCTTCACTAACCCGTCAAACTTAATGGAGTTTGACAATCCGAATACAACTTGAGAACTTGATTTCACAAGTCTCTTATCTTACCACCGAAGTTTTGATTTCTCAAAACTCAGGATTTCTTCCACCTAACGTTTCATTTCACAAACCGTTAGGATTTCTACCACTTGGTGTAATCCCAACACCAAGAATACAAATCCCTTACAATAAAGTAAGAAAACAAACCGCAACCGAGTAATTCTTCCAACACGGAGTAGATTGTTGCAAATACAATGAAGTCCTTTAGAATGTGGCTATATCTCTCAAAGAGTCAAGCAATGAGGAAAAACTCAAGAAAGAAATGATTTAGCAATCAAAACAATTGCCTTGCTTGGATATAAGGAGGGGATTGAGTAGAATCTCTTTGGATATTCAAAGGATATGTTTTTGAAGTGTTTTCAATGTATATTCTTGGCCAAAAACACGAGATAGGGTAGTTTAAATAAGGATAAGACGGAGTAACTACCCAAAGATTTGAAAAAAATGGCCGTTTAAGAGTTGAAACTGCCGAACTATTCGACTAAGTCAAGACTTAGTCGACTAGTTTTGGTGAAATTGCAATCTGACTTCTTCAACTAGTTCTGGATTTATTCAACTAAGTCAGAATAGAATTTCAGGGATTTATTCGAATAGTTTTCAACTTATTCGAATAGTTTGCTGAAAAACTCAAAATTACCAAGGAAGAAACTTGTTCGAATAGACCAAAGAGGAAACCAAAGACGAACCAAAATTATTCGAATAGTTTCACAACTTATTCGAATAAAACACATTATTTTCAGTCACAAGAAAGATCACGACTTATTCAAATAAACTAAAGGTTATTCGAATAGAAAGGCAACTTCTCCACACAAAGACTGATCTAAAAATGTGTTTTAAAGGTAGGATGATAAGAGAATGAACCTTAGAGATGCCATACTCTTTAACACATAATCTAAGACCTAAAACACTACCCAACTAAGAAAATAACCTCTTCGGTCTCGTTCCTTCCACCGATGCTCAAGTCCCTTCTTCACGGACGGATATGAACTTGTTGTAGCTTTGATTCTTAGCCTTGATGCACAATATGATGATGATGTTTTGTCACCCTTTTGTCATTATCAAAACCTAAAAGACAATGGGCAAAGGACATTGCAAAAATATATATTCATGATAGCACATTGTCCAACATCATAATGCTCCTTCATATGTGTGCACTTATNAATCTAAGACCTAAAACACTACCCAACTAAGAAAATAACCTCTTCGGTCTCGTTCCTTCCACCGATGCTCAAGTCCCTTCTTCACGGACGGATATGAACTTGTTGTAGCTTTGATTCTTAGCCTTGATGCACAATATGATGATGATGTTTTGTCACCCTTTTGTCATTATCAAAACCTAAAAGACAATGGGCAAAGGACATTGCAAAAATATATATTCATGATAGCACATTGTCCAACATCATAATGCTCCTTCATATGTGTGCACTTATTTAAAAACTTCAATTAAGTAGCATTGTGCCGAAAAAACTAGTTTTTTACATTTTCTAATTTAAGTCAGATTGACTCTTAGAGTATTACTATCTGCATGGTTATCTATGTATGCCAGTGATATCTAATTCTTAATTAATATTTGTGATTGGCATTGCAAAGTTTTCCGGTATAAATGGGGTTCTCTATTACACTCCTCAAATTCTTAAACAAGCCGGTGTAGGACTCTTGCTTTCAAAGTTGGGGTTGGGCACAGACTCGGCATCTATCCTCATAAGTGCTGCCACGACTTTGTTGATGCTTCCCGCGATAGGCATTGCAATGAGGCTGATGGATATTGCTGGCAGGCGGTAAGTCTTTTGGGTTTTTCTTAAACATATTTATATATATCTCAATGTGATGAAATCTAGCCAACTGAAACATATTCCATCATATCACTTTGTAGTATTTGCTAGTCCACCAACTTGTTACACTATTATGTATGTTATATTCGATCTGCAGGTGGCTTTTGCTCTACACGTTGCCGGTCTTGCTAGCATCGCTAGTGACACTAGTCTTGGGCAACATTATTCATGTGTCCCAAGTACTCAACGCCGTTATATCCACAATAAGTGTTGTGATCTACTTGTGCTGTTTCGTCATGGGGTTTGGCCCGATACCGAACATCCTTTGCGCTGAGATCTTTCCAACGCGTGTTCGTGGCCAGTGCATTGCCATATGTGCTCTCACATTTTGGATTGGAGATATCATTGTCACATACTCCCTCCCTTTAATGCTCTCATCTGTTGGACTTCGTGGGGTCTTTGGCATCTACACTATTGTGTGTGCAATAGCATGGGTTTTCGTCTTCTTAAAAGTTCCTGAAACGAAGGGCATGCCACTTGAAGTGATCACGGAGTTCTTTGTTGTTGGCGCGAAGCAAGCTAGTGAATAATTAATTGCACCAATGCAACTTTTCTTCTATTGCTCTCCACATTTTAGTGGAATTTGAATAATTAGGAGGGAGTCAGATGCATGCTCACTGAAATTCAAAGTCATCTAGGATTGAAATTTTGGAAGGTACACAGAGAACAAGAAAGACGATCAATCCTCAAGAAGATCAATGTCCAGAAACAAATGAATTATATTTATTTAATTCTTTTTAATACGTCGTAGTATATGTTATGCATCATTCTTTTAAACCTTGGGTTTCATAAATCAGTCGCATTGGCCGCATAAGAATGGAAATATTCATTATAGAAATTCTTCTTGTGTTGATACATACCTAATAATGAGTAGTACACAATATTTTTACTACTTTCATGTATATTTATAAGGTGCACTATTTCATGTAAGAGGCATTGTGTGATTACACCAATGGTGAAGATCAATGACGTAAATGGGCGTCAACGAATCGTGCACTCCATGTCTCCATGTAGCATTGCCACGTTGTAATAGGTGACCTAGAGTACGTACAATTCACCAATGGTTACTTTGAGTAACCTAGTTTATTACGGAGTAAAATATACTCCTCCAATTCTGTCCCATTATTATTTTTATCTCATTCACTATTCATGTAAAATCATTGAATGTATCGCATGAATACAATCAAACGGACAATTGAAGTCACCATCAACATTTTTACCATCAATACGTGCACTACAAGGTTTTATTTTATGCTCTCTCTGTTCTTGAAAACATTTTCCATTTTGACCAAGTGCCAAAACAAAGAAGTGTAAAATTATTGTTGACTTCTAATATTGTCTTTGATGTGATAAATAAAAGTAAGATGTGATGTGTGAATTATTAGAAAAAAAATATGATGTGATAGGTAAAGTAAGAAAAAAACTATGAATAAAATTAGTTTTTTAATCGAAAAGTGGAAGTGTTTTAGTGGAAGAGAAAAATGAAAGAGTAAATGTTTTTCCTAATTGAGGGAGTATGTACTATGTAGTACTTCTTCTGTCCCATTTTAAATTGCATGTTTTCCTTTTTTTCTTCACCCCAAAATAAGTTGCATGTTTCTTGTTATCGTAAATTTTCAAGAATAAAATATCTGAACTACAGCTAAAATATGTCACTCTTCTCCACCTTATATTCTCATTCATCGTCACTCTTAAAAAGTAATGACAATTTCAAAAAATCATCTCTATTTTTTCTCTTCCTTAAATATGTTCCAAAGTCAAAACAGGCGATTTAAAACGGGACGGAGAGAGTATTTTTTATATGCACATTTCTAGAAAGATGTTCATTTTGTACATAATAATAATAGGGTATAATACTAATAATAATATTATGTACTCCCTCCGTCCGGGAATGATGTTCCCGTTCTACTCTTTTTTCCGTCCGGGAATGATGTTCTCATTCTACTATTTTTTCTATATTCTTTCAAAATTACCCTTTCTTCCTTCTTTTCTTTCTTTTCTTCCTTTGTTTTTCTTCCTTCTTTTCTTTATTTTCTTTTTTTCTTTTCTCTTTCATTCTTTTTTCTCCGCCACCCCTTTTCCTTATCTCTTCATTTTTTTTTCTTTTTCTTCTCTCCTTTTCTTCTCCATCTCTGCGGATCCTTCCTCTTCCTCTCTTCAATCTTCTTCTTCTTCCTCTCTATAGTCTTTGTTTCTCCTCCATCTTTCTTCTTTAATTTATCTTTCCCTTCTTCTTTCTCCTCCATCTTTCTTCTAGATCTACGCGGCGATGGTGGCGGTCGGCGATGGCGATGGTGACTCTGCACTGCTTCCTCTCTTTCTTCTTTTCTTTCTCCTTATTTTTTTTAGATCTATACCACGAAGGCGGCAAAGGTGGGGCTGCGCATCGATGCTAGGGTGCCAACGGTGAGGGAGCTGTGGCGGCGATGGTGGTCAGTTAAATCTGCAGTAGATCTGTGTCCTTTTCTTCTTCTCCTCCTTGTCCTCTTTCTTCCCCTTCTTTCTCTCTTTTCTCTTTCTCCCATATATGATCTTGGTGGAGGCTATGGGCGATGGTAGGGCTGGTGGTGACGGCGACTGAGGTGATGGTTGTTTGGGCTAGCGGAGATAATGACGCTGACGACACTGGTGGGGGCTGCGGTGGGGGTGAGATTGGCGGCGGTGGAGGTTTGGGCCGGTGGTGGGTGCTGTTTGGTGGCTAGGGATGGGTGAAAATGTGCAAGGGTATTTTAGTCTATTCACTCCCTTAGTCAATGCTTCTTAAAAATGAAGAAAATTCAAAGTGGGAACATCATTCCCGGATGGAGGGAGTAATAAATAACAACAATATATAACTCAGATCCCACGAAAGTAGTATCTGGGGAGGGTGTATGTGTATACACAGATCTTGCCCTTTTTGAAAGTAGAAAGAAAGATCCATGGATGAAAAGGTCACATAAAATAAATAAATCAGATATAGCATTGACAAAGCACATGCATATAAATCACCAAGTACAAATATATTGCGAAGATCAAACCAAAGTTAACGAGGAAATCATGTGGCAATCAGATGGCAACAAGCATATAAGTGATGCAAGGTACTCCCTCCGTCCCCCTGTATTTGTCCACATTTGACTTTTGAAACTGTTTATCTAAGCACTTTGACTCATCAAATTCTCTCAATGTGTAAGCCTAAATATAGTCATGTGTGATCTTGTTTGATTTGTCTTAACATATAGATTATTAATATATAATTTCTATAATTTTTTAATATACAAATTACAAGATAAAATGGATTAAAGAAGTGCATTGGATGGTGTGTAAAAATGAAAGTGGACAAATACAGGGGGACGGAGGGAGTAGAAAACAACGAGTATAGTAAACTACTCCTTAGGGCAAGCCGTGTGCAACTAATTTAATCCTAAGTTTTCAAACGCTCCTATATATCTATGACAATAATGATAGCTAAAATAAAGATAATACATAGTATGAAAAATGTATGTAAATAATTTTTAAGTAACTGTTCACTACAAAAAACTCCCGGAATTGGCACGGAATATTAGGCACGGACATTCCGTGCCTATGCC